TCAAGCTCACTGGGATTAGTTATGACAATAAGTCCAGAGTTCTTGAAATTGCAGTTCCAAAAGTTTCTTCCATTAGCTTGGTAATAAAGATTCATGGCTATAGAAGCATGATTTATGAGATTACCGGGAGAGAAACATGGACATCCACTCGAAAGAACGCGAGAATCGACATGAGAACACGCGTAATTTATGTTTTCTAAAAGTGTTGCTTGATCCGAAGAAGGTTTAGCTACACACCAAGTCTTCATCTATAACAACAACATCGAACAAATTAAACTCATTGACTAAGAAGAACAAACAACATTTTTACTTATTTACCAACAAAAAAAAAACATTTTTACTTATGATAAGTATAGTCTAACCATTTACCTCTGCGTTGACTTTGATGAAGTTTCTTGCTGTGAGAAAAAAAATATATGAAGATGAAACTTTGAGTGACATGTAATGTTAAACTCAATAACTAAATTAAGATGGTTAATTAGTTCTGATTTGATTACCTAACGAGAGGTAGAAGAAGATGAGGAAGCAAAAGACACATCCATGATTTAGCCATTGTTTGATTTTATCTAACTGAGAAGTGAGGACTCTTCTACAATCTTTTGTATATATAAAATGACAAGCAAGTGAATTAGTGATGAATTTTTCTTTTATTTAAAAACAATTAGAAAAAGAAACAAAGAATATATATGTTAACTAAATAATGTTTTCTGGCTTTAAAGGTGAATAATCCAAAATATTGCTTATAGGAAAAGTAAGAGTTTTAGCAAAAGAGTCACTATAAACCGTATTGTTATGTCGATATTGGTTTAAAGAAATAACGAGACATCAAAACGTGAGCTGAGCTGTAAATTAAGGAGATTTTTAGATCCAATGCTCACTTTAATTTGTACGAGAATCTTAACAAAAGTAAATGTATAAAATAATAGAAACATGGCTTTTTGTGTGTAATCTTTGATTCCTTTAGAAAAACAATTATAATTAGTCTTGTATATTTTTAGTATTAAATTACGTTTTAAGTTAACTTTACAGTCTAATTATCAAAGAAGCGAATCTCGAAGTCTTTTTATTCAGTGAAACTGAAATTTGATTTGTTCAAGAAACAAATTTTCTTAATCACGTACAAATAAAGTAATTAAATAAAAGTTAACCATCGAGATATCAAAAGGACGAACGTTTCGAAAGTCTGATACATATTCGAGCAACTTGACCACCTCGGTCATGGTCGGTCTAAGAGCCGGTTCCGGTTCAAGACACATCATTGCTACACCAAACACATCGTTCATTTCTTGAACCGGTGATCCTCTTAACCGGTTATCTATCACCACCTCTTCTCTTAGGTCTCTTACCACTCCTTTTACCTGCGTACAATACAAACGACGTCGTTTAAAGGTCGAACAAGAGGATTAACTTTTAACTTTTAACAAATGAAAAAGAGAAAGATAACTTGTTACCCAAGCAACAAGCTTTGTTCCTTCTCCAAAAAACTCATCATTAGTTGGTTTTCTTCATGTTAAAAGCTCCAAAAGAACAACTCCGAAACTATAAACATCGTCTTTCACAGTCGCTTTACCCGTATCGAAATACTTTGTTTAACAAAACACACATCAACAAAATCAAATATCAAACTAAAG